CACACCGATGGTGTACCTGTTCACTAACAGTCAAAGTAAAGAACTGTGCGTCTTCGTACAATTTTCAAAAATTAGTTCTTAGTATGGTTAAGCGTTTCACTTCAAAATAAATTAAAATTATTTAACACTGTAATATACATATTATATTGCAATGCAATGTTATGCGTCTACAGAACAAAAAAATAAATTAAAGTCACATTAATAATTATCATAAATAAAAATAATAATAATAATGCGACACCAAACGTTATCATCTTATTTTGAGCCAGTCAATTTATTGTTAGTCATGTTATCAATATTTCTTTTTAGGTACCTACGTCAACTCGAGATACGTCACCCCTCCAGGAGCCATCTGGCGATTGTTTTCGTACAATTTGCAAGTTGTCTTCAGGCTACCCGTTCACCTGGAGGGTCGTTAGAACGTGTAATTTGCGCCGGGCCAAGAATAAGAACGGCTACAGAACCAAGCCGTACGTCACACGAAACTCACGCAGTTCTTCGCGCTCAACGCAACCAACGTGGAGGCCCGACAGTACTTGTACCACGACATACCGACGCATTACACGTGGCAGGTTCCACGGCCAGAAAGAAATTTCGGAAATCTCAGACAGTGGTGTCCGCGGCTGATTCGGATGGCAAACGTTACGTTGGCTCGGATGTACGTAGTCAACCCACTGGACCGGGACTGTTTCCACTTGAGATTGCTACTTCTGAACCGAAGATGCCCGCAGTCCTTTCAAGACTTAATGACGGTGGATGGGGTCGTTCACGAAACATTCACGGCGGCTGCGGTTGCACTCGGACTGTTAGAAGACGACCGAGCGTGGCGGGATTGTTTGACGGAATCGGCGACGTTGGACACACCGCGGCAACTGCGGTATCTGTTCATCACCATACTGGTGTTCTGAGAGCCCTCAAACTCGATGCCGTCGTACGGCGCGAACGAAGCAAACCTGATGGAGGACTTCAACAGACGACTCCAAGATGTCGACCGCTTGAGGGCCGCGTATCTGGCAGCCATCGAGGATCTACTTCGTGCTTACGGAAAGTCACCGGTCGACTACGGTTTGCCCCTGGCCGACCCCCTTCTACTGGAACCACTGCAGCAGGACGATGCGCTGTTCCGAGAAATAGATGCGGCGGCAAGGTGGGCCCCACAAGTGGACGCCTTGAACGCCGAACAGCGAACGGTGTACGACCGCGTAATGGCGGCCGTCGACGACCCGCGCGAGGCGTCTCGAACTTTTTCGTCGACGGACCCGAAGGTACCGAAACTACACTGTACGGATGCCTGATATGGTCGCTTCGACACCGACCACAGCCGCGGGAGGTGTTGTGCGTCGCGTACACCGGGATCGCCGCGTCGCTCATGGACGGCGGCATGACGGTGCACTCGACGTTCGGACTGCCGTTCGGCACGCTCACCGAAGACTCGACGCCCACAATCACCATGCAGTCCGGGCGAGCGCTGAAGATACGGAACGCGGCGCTCATCGTCTGGGACGCACCACCCATGTCACCGGGACTGCAACTGACGGTGGTGGACCGCCTGCTCAGGGACGTCATGGTATCGGAATTACCGTTCGGCGGTAAAACCATGCTGTTCGCCGGCGACTTCAGACAGATATTGCCCGTGATCCGGAGAGGGACGAGAGCCGATATCGTCATGTCTTCGATCAAGAAAAACGGTCTTTGGAACGTCATGGAGCGTTTCGATCTGGTACGGAACATGCGCGCGGGCAACGACGCGGACTTTGCGTCTTGGTTGCTTCAGCTCGGCAACGGCCGACTGCCCGCGGTCGACGGCGTTCCGGACACCGTGCACATCCCGCGGGAAATGGTATGCGACCCCGCCGATTTAATCGATTTCGTGTATCCGCAGCAAATGTCGTTGGCCAACGTCGAAGAATTTGCTCGGAGAGTCGTCGTGTGTCCCACCAACGAAGAGTGTAGGAGTGTCAACGGCGACGTGCTGGAGCGCGTCAATGGTGAAGAGATGACCTACACCGGCGTGGACACCATGATGGATAATGATAATTGTGGTGATATTTATGGTGATAAGAACCACCACGGAGCACAGGAACATAATATAAAACAAATACAATTAATTTGAATTGCAATATTGGCGCGAACACATAATTTAAACGACTAACTACTTTGCCGGAATAAGCGTGGGCAGGTGCTTACAAAAAAGTAAGCCCTCTAAGTTTAAATATTCATTCATAAATACGATCCGCATTGGTTGTGTCGAAAACAAGCTAATGTTATTGTACTTATTTTTAAGTTAATAAATGAAAAGAAATAAAAAAATGGATGGTACAACAAAGCAATAAATTCCTTTAACAAAAGTCACGTGTTGCGCACAATACTAGCCTATTATTATACGATCCGCGTTAAACGTGTTAAAAAAACAAGCCCCTGATATACACTTGCGCCAATTGCCTCTAATATTCTATGCATTGTTTATCGTTCTAAAGTTGATAAATAAAAAGTAATAAAGAAAGTGTATAGTAAAACGAAACTTTAAGTGATCTGTCGGTATTATGATATGTAGATGGTATGATAAAATATTAAATTCGTTGATCGGAAAGCATGTGTTACATTATATTAATTGATAAATTACCAACGATCTGCGGTGTAAACGTTTTAAAAAGCCAACAATTAAATTAATAATACAATGTATACTCACGTGTTTCTGCTTCAGACAGTTGGAATGAAATGATTTTAAAGTCGGACGTCGGCGCAGTCCTTGGTCTTAGAACGGCAACAATAACATGAGTCAAGGCAGGTAACCCATGCGGGTAACGATATCGCACGGCCGATTAATTAATTTATTGTATTGATAAATTAATTATCTTATAGTTTTATATTATTCATTCGAACACGGCATTAAACCTTACACTTTTGGCCATCGTTCTTATTTCATTTTTGCAAAATTTTTTTATATGGTCATAATAATGCCTTAGGACCATCACTCGATTTTATTGATACACACGCAAAAATGGTTTTCAAACATTCTCGGCTTCGGCAGAATACCGCCAAATCTGTAGGCCTTATCACCGACCGTTTATCGTATATCCACTCGGCGGTATCAGAGGATAACTTCCCGCCTACTATGTGATACGAGAGACATTGGGTCTGACATCATGTCGGTGCGCGGAAACGTTTCCGTGTTTTTCGGAGGACCATGGGGAAACGAAATCCCAATCAGCTGACCGAGTTTCGCTTCTAAATCGCTCTACTACTATAAACGATAAAAACTATTATAAAACGTGGCCACCCGACTTGCTAGACACTCAGCAAATCACGGCGAATAAATTACGACTAGCACATTATTATCAATTCTTCGTTATCACTTTAACACATTTTTCGGTAATTTTAACATTTTAAGTGTGACCAACGTAAAAATAAAGTAATGTGCTTGTGCGATTATTTAACCTTTACTGTTTGTACACACTGTATAATAAATTATGTAATGTTTATTTAAATAATGTAAAAATAGGTTCTAAAAATAACAATTATTATTATTGCTCAGTGTATTACCAGTGTACCTATTACCCACTGGTTCGTTTCTTGTAATTTATGAATTATGAATTTATGATACGGAGTGATACCCATTGGTTTTGTCTGATGTCTATTAAATATTAGTATTATTAGCACTTAGCAGTTTAGCGCTTTACTACTCAACAGTCAACTTATTGCAGTTTAGTATTCAAGTATAACTAGTACTAGTAACTACTATTTAGAGCTACAGCTCACGGCTGTCGGCTGCCATGGCCTGTGTACAACAATTTGTTTAAGTATCTAAGTTAATTTCCAAAATATAACGGTAAGTAGATACTATATTATTTATTAATAATGGTAAAGTTATATAAATAGTAAAATAAAAAGTAAATTATTTTTTTGTTTTATAGTTAATACTCTAAAATTTGCTAGAATTTTACATAACTATAGAAAGTTAAACTATGACACATTAAAAATTAGCTCAGGTTATCATATTTAAAAAATTGTTGTAAGAAATAAATAATTACAAGTATAAAAAGTTAATAATTGTTAAAAAAAATATTAAATAATAAATAATTAAAGTATTAAATAATTTAAATGTACATCTGCTATTCTCCACTTAATATATAAATATAGTGATGTTACAAGTCATATTTAAAAATTATTGTAAGAAATAAATAATAAATAATTAAACTAATTAAAGTATTAAATAATTTAAATGAAAAGCTACTATTCTATCACTTAATATTTATTATATAATATATAGTTATGTTACAAAAACAACTGTCATATTTACAAGATAATAATAAATTAGTTATTATTATATACAGTGTGATCACGATTTAAGGTACCACTAAATATCTCAGGTGCATGACCTTGTATTGAAATGGCGTTTTCGGGAAGTGATAGAGAGTACCTAAATACATATTTTTGGATAAATTTCAAATTTTTAACATGTTTGGGGTGCGCATGCGCAATACAACTTACATTTTTTTAAATGGAAACACCATTTTTTTTTTACACATTCGGATAGATTATTTTTTTTTGAGCATTTTTTGTATCAACAGTTTTTTTCTATTTTCAAAACTGACCAAGTTAGAGTAAGTCAAAGTTTGGATTTATGCATAATTCGTGTTTAACGAAATTTTCACTTATAACTACTGGAAATAATAAAATAAATGTTAAATTTACCTTATCTGTTTACAAATAATAATTTAATAATAATGTTGGTCAATATCTAGAGTATGTGATAATATTTGTTTATTAAACTCCTATAATACGATTACAATTTTAACTATTTTTATAGTGGAATTTTGTTTTATTTTACAATAGCTCAAATAACGATAAGATAATCAGATAATGTAACTATTAAGGTATTTAGTTTGATGAAAAATATCATTTTACTTTTATTCTGTAACTAGACTTGTACCAAAGTGTGTACGTTATCCGTGTATGTCTGGTTATTAAGTACTCCTGTAAATTATAAGTTTTTAAATATGAATAACGCTGAAAAAGTTGAGTTGGTTTTAATTTATGGTGAATGTCAGCGTAATTTACGCTTAGCAGCTATGACATATGCCGAACGATACCCAGAAAGATACCACCCACCTCACAATTATGTTTTAAGACTTTTACAAGGGTTAAGTCAAGAAGGAAGATTTCCTGATAGACAAATCAACCAACAAAGGCGTAGAGCAAATTTGTTTGATGAAGACATAGAATTACAGGTACTAGCATACATACGAGCTAACCCACGATCGTCAATTAGGCATGTTGCTCTCGAAATTGGAATTTCATATGGTTATGTACAAAAAATTTTAAAAAAACATAAAATGCACCCGTATAAAATTGATTTAGTTCAACATTTGCGTGCAGGAGATTCTACTCGTAGGTTAGAATTTATAGCTTGGTTCAATATTCAATTTCATAATAACCCTCTAATTGTCAATCACATTCTTTGGAGTGATGAATCAAAATTTACCAATAATGGCATTATGAATAAGCAAAATCATCGATACTGGGATGATACAAACCCACACTGGTCACGTGAAACTAATTTTCAAACGGTCTAGGGAATTAATGTATGGTGTGGGTTAGTTGGTGGAAAGCTTATAGGACCGTACTTTTATGATGGGACACTTAATGGCAGACGATATTTAAATTTTTTAACCAACGAACTGCCAAGAATGTTGGAAGATGTTTCATTAGACACACGAGAACATATGTTTTTTCAACAAGATGGAGCACCAGCCCATAATGCAATTATTGTTAGACAAAAATTAAATGAAATGTTTCCGAACCGCTGGATTGGTACTTATGGCGTCGTAACTTGGCCGGCACGGTCTCCAGATTTAACGCCATTGGATTTTTTTTATGGGGACACTTGAAGACTGTGGTTTACGCAGATCTACCTGTTAATCTTCAAGACTTAAAAAATAAAATACAGGCAGCGTGTGAAATTTTAAGAGAAGAGCAAATCAAGGCGGCAACTACGACTGAATTTTTGAGACGACTTGAATCATGTTTAGAACATTATGGTGGAAATTTTGAACAATTTATAAGATAAATTTATTTACTTATTGTTATTATTATTGTTAATAATTTTTTATTATAGGTTTTTAATTATTACAGTTAACAGAAAAAAAAATATTGTACATTAAAAATAATATTTAATTAGGTACTTCAAATTTATTTTATTATTTCTTAATAATTACATTATCTGATTATCTTATCGTTATTAAAACTATTGAAAAATAAAATAGAATTCCACTATAATAATAGTTAAAATTGGAATTGTATGAAAGCAGTCAACGAAACAAAAATTATCACATACTAAAGATTATATCTATCTGGATGACATACGATATTATTAAATTATTATTTGTAAACAGATAAGGTAAATTTAACATTTATTTTATTATTTCCAGTAGTTATAAGTGAAAATTTCGTTAAACACGAATTATGCATAAATCCAAACTTTGACTTACTCTAACTTGGTCAGTTTTGAAAATAGAAAAAAACTGTTGATACAAAAAATGCTCAAAAAAAAATAATCTATCCGAATGTGTAAAAAAAAAATGGTGTTTCCATTTAAAAAAAATGTAAGTTGTATTGCGCATGCGCACCCCAAACATGTTAAAAATTTGAAATTTATCCAAAAATATGTATTTAGGTACTCCCTATCACTTCCCGAAAACGCCATTTCAATACAAGGTCATGCACCTGAGATATTTAGTGGTACCTTAAATCGTGATCACACTGTATTATGATTATAATATTTATGATCATATTCAGTATTTACAACTTGGCTAGTTCTATTTGTATTATTAATAGCTTCTATTATAGACACCTTTTCTTTTTCAGTTGATTTTGACAGTCTACCACTGGTTAATTTTAGTTTTTTTCTTGTTGAATTAAAACGTTGTTGATCTATATTTCTGTGACTTGGCATGTCAGGTAATTCTGAGAAATGGGGCCCAGATGAGTTTGAGTTTTCAGACACATTTTTATTTGGTTGTAAAATCTGAATAACTTCTTCTATTTTTTTACAGTCTTTAAGTTTCCCTTCATCTGTAGCAGAACTAGCAATTCCTAATGCAGCATTAAGTAACCTAATGATGACTGTGGGCAATTTGCTCCATTCGGAATGTAGGCTTCTTTTTTGCCATGCGAATGATTCGTTCAAACATCATGTCTCTAAAAAAGCGCATTAGAAAGCTAATACATTTATCGACTCGCCTGTTCTGGTTTCCATGCATGTAGCAATATTTAAGTTTTTTGTGCATGGCTTCTAAAAACATATTAGTATTCAAGGCGAGATCACTTCGATAGCAAAATGCCCACTGCTCAGGTTGATGAGCATAGTGTTTCTCAAAGTAAGCACCAAAATTATGAGTGTCAATATCATCGTTACACATTGCCAGAAAACTTTCTAAAGAATCATGAAATTGTTCAACATCCAAAATTTCCATGAGTGTGCGGCAAGCTTTATATACTTCAGACTGCTTCATTGGGTCTGGTATTTTATTGAGGTTGTTTCTCCAGCTTCTATCAATATGCCAGTTGCAAATTAAATGGTGTTGAGGCTTGCACATTATCTTTGTTCAGGAGTTGATATATGTTGGAGCATCATCAGACATCAATATTTTGGCAGGAATAAGACCCATTTTTCCCTTTACAGATTTAAAAAACTGAGAAATAGCTACAGAATCAATCCTGTTGCTGATACAGAAAGCCATTGGACATCCAGCTCCAAATTCATCAATGGTAAGCATTGTTGTGAGCTGGAAGTCATGTTCAGTTGTCCCATGAGTGCGAACTTTGTCAATAGCATATTTTGATAATACATCTTGCTGATATTTTGTCATTAATACAATCATAAAATCATCTTTTAAGAGATTATCGTTTTTTTCGCATCCTTGCATTTTAAAATATAAAACAGGTGAGTCCTCTCCGAGTGCCATCTGCTCTTGAACCCACATCTCAGTGCTGAATGCATCATTCTTATGTACTACATCCCTATCCAATTCATAGTCTCTAACAATATTATATAAATCTCTTTTATCGACAATATGCAGGCGGTGAATATTCTCATTCGACACTACTGATTCACGGATGTCATCTAGGATTCGATCAAAAGTCACTCCAATTTTTATTTTGCCAGCCAGTTCATCTCGTTCCTCTTTAGTCAAATGTAAAAATTTAATTGACTTGGAATGGCCCACATGTGTCTTGCAATAATCTACTGTAATGCGGCCTTCAATATTAGTTGCAACTATTCGAGCAGGACATCTTGAACCAATTTTACTGGAATGTGACCATTTCAGTCTTTTGCCCGTGCCTGTTAACCGGGATGATCCTGATCTATGACATCCATAGTATGATCTATTTCCATTCTCGATGAATGGTAAAAAAAGCAAGATTTTCTTTTTCAATGACACTTTTCCATTTTTTAAATTCTGAATCATAAAAAAAATATACATATATAATGTTTATTATATATAGGTACATGGATAACTATCATTTTAATAAGAAAAATGAAAATATTTACCGTCAACAGATTCAAAGACCTTAGACACAACCTCCAAGTGTACATCATGGTCTATTTCAATGTGCTCGTGAAGCTTTGATGTAGCATTAAATGTTGACTCACATAAAGGACATTTCAACGACGCAAGGCTTTTATAATCATTTTCAGCCGGATGAACTTGGCGCATATGTTTGATTAAATTGCTTTTATTGCTAAATTTAACATCACATAGCTTGCAACACTCCTTCAATGAATTGTCCCTTTGATTGTGTTCAGTTCGAATATGCTGGTTAAGAGACTTTAGGTCCAGAAATGTTTTATTGCACCTAAAGAATAAAATTAATGTGAAAATAGACAGAGCATTCAATTTGTATGGGTCCTGATCAACTACAGTGATTTAATGTAACACCACCAGTAAGTATTCTACTCAATGTTCGAGATAGTTCCCTAGTTTTTTTTATTATTAACTTACTCTGAACAAGTTCCAGGTGTTATGTATACCGTCAAAATGTCTGCGTAACGTTGAATGTTGTGGATCTAGCGAAATTGTTGTTACATTTTTGACAAAATTTTTCAAAATATTGTTTTGACAATACAAATACATATAAAATAACAAAAAATACCATAAAAAATTAATAAATGCAAAACACACATTTTTAGTTAATTGAGTTCATATTTGCAAAATACCACCACCGGTAAGTATTCTACCCAATGTTCGAGAAATCGAGATAGTTCACTAGTTTTATATTCATAACTTACTCTGAACAAGTTCCAGGTATTTTATGTATATCGTCGATATGTCTGCGTAACGTTGTGGATCTAGCAACATTTTTGTTACATAATATATGGCAACAGTTTTCACCCTTTTGATTAGTTTTTTATCCATATTGCAAAATAAAACGTTAAAAATTATATAAAAGAGTATTTTTTGATTTTTTTAATTTTTTTAATTATTTTATGATATGGATAAGACTATATGGGAGGCAGTTGTACAAAAATGATAAGAGCATCAACCGAAAAATATGTTAGTGATAACGAAGAATTGATAATAATGTACATGGATCAGGGTGGTTTTGATCCGCTCGTTGCTAGACACCAAGCCTTATACCATTTTTTTTGCACGTGACCTATTACTTAATTTTGCGTCAGAGTTCGGATTGCATACGTGATGACGTGCCCCAGCCGTGGAAAATTGTCGAGTTGCCTTCCAGGGTGACTACGACCAAAGTCGAGGAACGTGACCGACCCGCTAGACCCCAAATACTATTACTACGGCGAACGTCATTCTAGGTGACCGAACTGTTAGAAACCCACAAAAATACAACGACTATATTATTTTTTATATTACATTTTACTATATTAGATTTTCGTAATGGTGTGTAGGTTCTGCGTTATGATTCATGTCCTATGTGCAGTGACGTCGAGGAAGGCGACTGACCTGCTAGATACCTCCACAAAAAGGCGGCTATAAAACTCGGCCGTCGCACGAAGTCGGATAGCCCACCCGTATTACTACGGCGAACGTTATTCGAGGTGACTGACACCAGCTAGACACCCACAAAAATAAATATATTATTTTTTTACCAAATTTCGAATTTCCGGCGGCGTTGTCGAAAAGACTCTGTCAAAGACTCTGCCCTGGCTACCACGGGCTACCACGTCGAACCGCAGTGGTCCTAGCCTTATCACACATCCTTATCGGCATACCAGCTCTTCGCCGATATACCGTGTCGGCTCGAGACCGCAAGTCCGCACCACGTCAAGACCACCGCAGCTTCCGAAATCGACAACACTAATGACAAACTCTTGGGGGTCTGGGGGTGTCCCCCATCGACGCTCGGAGACCTAGTCTTCTATTCTATACTATATAAAGCGTGAACCCGAGGGCGCCCCCTATGTGTTAAATCGGTACTTTATAGGGAACCCTCCAATGCAGGGCCTAAAATTAAGATATTTTGCTACTGCACACCTTATTCCACACCAAAATATTTTAATATAATGCACCTAATAGTGCACATGCCACATGCCACATATAACTTCATTGCATAATTGTTTTTGTTATTCATTAATAATTAGTTATAATAAATACAATCTAAAACAATCTTCTATATAATTCCTTGAAACCTATATGGCTATATGACTGAACATTTTAAAATTAAAAACGAAATAGCTTAGGTTAATATAATTATTATATTATAAGCCGCCCAGAATATGATGTAGTAGGTATTATTTTTAGTGTTAAGGATTTTAAACGAATACAATATTATTCTAATTACCAATTTTCAATAATCAAAATTGAATAGTAATCAAATAAAAATGTATAAAACCAAAAATGAGTACTGCACACTTTTAAATTTGCTACTGCACATTTAGTATTAGCTACTGCACATACAGTACGGTCCACGAAAACGTGCGGGTGACCGCTGCGCGCCTCGTGGCGATTTCTCTGAAAGCCAGTGTACCTCAACATATGATCCGTGCCAACTGCTGGTGTTGCAGCCGGCGCGGCATGCCGGCTGCAATACCGGTGAGGCAACCAAATGTTTTATATGTAGGAACATCCCTTTATATTGAATAAACTGCAACCGGTGTCCAGCACCCCATGTGCTATTTAACAATAGCATAGCACATCCGTACATTTTGAAATTGGAATTTAGATATAATAGTGGGGACTACAAAAAAAAAAATAGTGGCTTGAAACCCTGAAGCATTTAACAGCTATAGCAAACGTATCTCTGTCTTGTATCGACTCCACGTGCGTTTGGTGCTCCCTAGTCATTAGTTTTGATATTTAATGAAAACTGTATTGATTTTCGCAATTTTTAATCTCACGTTTTAAAAATGGCTTCTTGTACACACAATGATATTCATAGCCAAAGTAAACAAGTGATTTTTCGCGTGTATACTTTTTTCAAAAAACTGTCTGCTATGGAAAATTTATCAGCAGAGTTTTTTAAAAAAACTCAGCTCATTACTGCAGAAGCGTGTGGAGTCAGCGAACGAACTGTTCAAAAAATTTTCGCGGAATCAAAAAAATCTGAAAATGAAAACGTCACGTGTGCAAAAACTTTATTCAAATCGCCGAGAAAAACATATTATAGGAAAAAGAATATTACTGATATCGATGATTTCAACGCCGATGTAGTCCGAAGACGTGTCCATGAATTTTACGATAAAGGTAACTAACTCATTTTTGTAATATTTAAATTTTTATTTACTTTCTCTCTAATAAGTCAATAAATTACAACTATTAACTATAGCTTTTTTGAAAATTTTTTTTTATATACGCATCAAGATTTTTTCAATACGAATATTCCAAGTTTCATAAAGATTGGATTGATCCATTTTAGATTCTGAGTGAAGCGATGAATGTATTGATTTTACAATGATGTGTGTTTTTTTTTTTATTTTTTTGTCTGTGTACACGATAAGTAGTCGAAATAATGCTTGGATTTTCGACTTCAGTATCTCGTTCGATGGGAAAGTGAATATCGTTGGTGCATTGGGGAGGTCAAAATTTAAATTTCCCAGTAGTTTTCAAAAGCGACGTGAAAAACAAAAGAAAAATTAAGGAAAAACGGGAATTTTTACGCAAAATCAATATTTAACAAAATCGATTTTGGTTATTGGTGTAACTCTAAAACAAATGACCGTAGATGCATGAAATTTTCACTGGTTGTTTATATTTGCATTTTCTATACACGATAAAAATTTTAAAATAATATGATTCTTTTTGAACTGTTTACGGACATTGTCAGTTTTCAATTTTTTTATTTTTTTTTCCTATAAATATCAATAAAATTTTATTTGTTGGATAAAAAGCTTGAAAATTTAATAGAAGACTCCTAGATTATTGTTTCAAAGGAAAATTAAAAAAATTTAAAATCCTTAGTCACCGTTTTTATTTATAAGTATTTAAAGTTCAAATTTTGACAAAATACAGAAAAATCACGAAAATTAGCAATTTATTTTGAGTTGAGAATTCATAAAAATTTTTCTTTTTAAATCTAAGATTTGAAAATGTAATACAAGATTCCTCATAAGTTTGTCTACCTTTATCAAAAAAAAATGTCTACAAGAAAGTCAAATTAAATTTTTATGAGCGTTTGAAATTCATATTTTTACAACATTTGATATTCACTCGATATCTCATGTAACGATTTTCTTATTTTGTTTTAATTAAAAAACGTATGACTGTAGTTACTTGAAAATTTCACTGAATGTTTGTATTAGCATTTTCTATACACGATTAAATTTTAAAAATAATTTGACTCTTTTTGAGCTGTTTACAGACATTGTCAGTTTTCAATTATTTTAGTTTTTTTTTCTATAAATATCAATAAAATTTTATTTGTTGGGTAAATTAGCATGAAAATTTAATATAAGGTTCCTGATATATCGTTGTAATAGCAGTTGAAAAATATTAAAAATACATATGCACAATTTTTTTTTTTATCAAAATATATCAAATTTATAAATTAATAATTATTTTGTAGTTAAAAATTTATAAAATGATCAACTTTTAAAGCTAAGGATTGAAAATTTAAAACAAGGCTCCACGTAAATAGGTTATAATATATAAATTAATTTATTCACAATAATATATCATCAAATATACTTGGAAATATCACAGGCTGACTGACCGTTTTAGCTCAAAATCGTTTTTCTTATACAATGATATTATATCATTGAATTCAAATTGAACACCATCCATTAAAGTGACCAACTTGTCACATACTGTACAGCAGAGCGACATCCACATACCCACCTTTTTTTATTATATACCTACACTTCAATTTGAAAAATATAAATATGTTTAATATAATAATATTATTTATGTATATTTATTTACATAATTAATATTATTTAATTATAATGTTGTAAAAAGCTATGGTATTGATTAACACTCTGTATTTTACAATTTAAATAAAAATGAAATAATAAATAAAAATTATCATTGTAGGTGAATATCCAACTTCTGGAAAGATATGTGAAGCTTTGAAGACAAAAATTAATTTTGAAGGATCTAAAACATCCGTGAAAAGAATTCTGCAATCCTTACACTTTAAATATAAAAAGTGTAGCAACGGTCGGAAATTTTTAATGGAACGGAACGATATTGTGGCGCTTCGAAACACATTTTTAAGGAAAATGTGTACTCTACGTTCGAGCGGTGACACTAGACCTGTTATTTATCTAGATGAAACTTGGGTGAATCAAAACCACTCGAGAAATCATATTTGGCAAAATGAATTGGATCGTGAAGGATTTAGAGTGCCTATTGGTAAGGGTGGTCGCCTTATAGTATGCCATGCTGGAGCAGCTAAATTTGGTTTCATTTCTGGCTCTAAATTAATTTTTAGAAGTAAAAATGACGGCGACTACCATTCACAAATGAATAGTCAAATATTCCATGATTGGTTTATAAATATGTTACAATTGTTAGAAGAGCCATGTGTCATCGTTATGGATAATGCTCCATATCATAGCGTTTTAGTGGAGAATGTACCAAAATCAAGTACGAAAAAGGCCGATGTTCAAAAATGGCTGACAGAAAAAGGTATAGAGTTTTCCCTGTGTGAAACTTTGGCTGAGCTCAGAGAGAAGATCAAAATGGCAAGACCACGAGAGAAACGCTACCAGTTAGACGAGACGGCATTTCAAATGGGACATGAAGTAGTTCGACTTCCACCTTATCACTGTCAATACAACCCGATAGAGTTGATTTGGGCTCAAGTGAAAGGAGAGGTGGCTTCCAAAAACACCACATTCAAAATAGCCGATGTTGAAAGACTTATGCACGAAGCCATAGATGCTGTCACTCAAAGTAATTGGGAAAGATGTGTAAGACATGCAGAAAAACTTCAAGAGGAAGATTATGCAAAAGAAGGTTTCAGAGATCATATAATGGAACCTATAATTATGACAATTAACTCCGACGACAGTAGCTGTAGTAGCGACGAAGAAAACGACGATTAACAATTTTTTATAATATTTTTTTTTTTATTTATTTGATTTTTTTTATATTATTAATTATAAAATAGCAGTTATCAAATTTATGTAAGGTATTTTTTTTTTATTGGGTACAATTATATACATTTTATAAAAAAAATATACGCATTGTACAATGTACATATAATATATGTACATATTATGTGTGTACACGATTAATTTCAAAATTTAGCGGGAAATAGTTTACCAACCACCGACGCAAAATTGCCACGAGGCGCGCAGCGGTCACCCGCACGTTTTCGTGGACCGTACTGTAGTGTGTGCTACTGCACACAATTTTAGGCCCTGCTCCAATGAGAAAATTCCGTTTCCCCGGCGGCGGCGGGGCCGTCGCAGCGTTATCACTCCTCCTTATCGCTTTTCACGATTTTTTTTTTCAACATTTTCGACTCTTACCCCCCTCGGGGCCTCGGGCGGCCCCCGTTTGGACCTTATTCGCTTTCCTCAGTAAATTTACAGTCGGCGCGCGGCCCTACTTTTTTTCCCAGGGGGCCCGCCGCGGCCGATATCGCGTGCGATACGAGTGCCGCCGTCGAGCGCGTCATTCGTAGTTTTTTTCGAAAATTCGAGTTTTAGGTTCCCCGTTTGGATCTTATTTGCGTTCCCCGATAAAATTATAGTCGGTCGCGGGACTACTTTTTCAAAAACGAGTCCCCCGGCGGACGAATCGATCGCCGAGTCGTCGCCGACGGTTTTCTCGACTTTTTACACTAGAGTCATTTGACGAGAGCATTGTTTTTACGCGATTTTTTGTTTGTGCAGGTCGTATACGTTCTACCGTTTATTTAATGTTACAATTGCATTCTCATATTGATCTGTAGGTACTGCGTTATGACTCATGTCTTATGTGTATACCGGTATTATAAAATTATCCTACGTGTGTACCTGACAAAAGACACCAGTATACTAACAATTCATAAAGTATTATTAATATATTATGTACCTAGACAATAAATAGAGTAACTTGACGGTCACGATGTTTGCGTTTGGTGGTATACCTAATGTCTTGACACATAATAATAATATCTATTACAATACAATGCTGTACACGAATGACGTAGTTAAATATGGGTACGTTAGGTTAGGTGGTTGTTTTTTATTATTATTAATGTTATTATTATTGTGTGCGTACACGCCCAATACATAGCCACATAGGTAAGTGTTTACGTATGCCGGTGTGTGTAATATTAAAAGTGGACGATTTAGGAGCGACACTGCAATACCACGCGCTATTACGACCGTTATTATACGCAACACTGACGCGCTGGTATGCGTGGAGTGGTGCCGCTGGATGGACAACTTTGGCGACACGAAACGCGCCCGTGTCGACCCGCGTCATCTCTTGACTGGCGCTCTTGTAACGCCGCGTCCAGACTAGACGACCAAGGCAACCGAACGCCAACGTCAACACATTTGGTGTGGGCTGTACTTAGATTTGAGAGCATTGGCATACTGTCCAAACTCATTCCGAATTCGTCGTTAGTCCGTGTTTGGAAGCCTTCGCTTGTTTATGCTGCGAACTCACATAACTATAAGTTTTATTTTATACTTTCCAAATTTTAAAATTTAATATTTAACTAAAAATATTACATTTTAAATAAAATGTCGTCAAGTGACGACGACTTATTAATGGCAAGTGCTGCTTTTGTGATAATGAACTCATTATTAAAAAAAGAAGAAAAAAAAAAAGAAGGCACAGGCGTTGGTGGATGACTTCGACATTTAAAAGTCGAATAACTTATAGGTAAGTAAACTAAATAGGTACCTAGTTGAAAATATTAATTATTAATATTTATAATTTTTATAGTGGTAGTAATTTACTAGAGGATTTGCGAAGAGAAGATTCTGGTCATTTTAATAACTTCTGCAGAATGCCACCAGCTACATTTGACGTATTACTAGAAATGATCACGCCTATGATTAAAAAAGAAGACACGAATTTCAGAAAGGCTATACCACCTCAAGAGCGACTAGCCTTAACCTTACATTTTTTAGCAACTGGGAACTCTTTTTCCAGTTTAGCAATGACCTTTAAAATATCAAAACAAACAATTTCAACAGTAGTTCCTGAAGTTTACGAAGCTATTATTCAAGTACTGCAAGATCAAATCAAGGTAATTATAAAAATACAATACACCAAAACATATTGATATAAATACTAATATTATTTTCAATTTATTGAACAAAATTATTAAGAAAAAAAATAATCAAGTTAATTACAATTTTGGTACTCCCAAATAAAAAATAAAACTTATACAATTTTGGTACTCCCAAATAAAAAATAAAACTTATAAAATTTTGGTACTCCCAAATAAAAAATAAAACTTTTAAAATTTTGGAACTCCCAAATAAAAAATAAAAAATAGTTTAACAGTTCAAATATTCATCATAACTAGTTATTATTTAAAACATCAGTATTTTGATCTGTAAAAGTTTGAAAATAGGAACTTGCCGAGGACTCCGAAGAATGCAAACTATTTTCTTGTGGAGTGATTGGATTATCAAAAATATTACGAATAGGCTCCTGTGATGTTGATGGATAATGATGCGGAGTTGTTTGTTGATAAAATTGTTGATTACTAAATGCACGAAATGTTGCTGAAGGTGCTTTAGAATTAGTGTAATTCCAATGAAGAGCTGGCTGTTGTGGCATTTGTGTATGAAATTTACTCATGTGTGCTTCATATAGAACATTATTAAATGTATGTTTAATTTGAGCTCGGGTATGTTCGTCAAATGTTTTAAGTTCACTCGCTATATACCTCCCATACGTATCACTGTCATCGTCTTTAATCGAACGTTCGTTTTTTTTTTGCTTCGATAGTTTTTAATAAATTAAACGCTTCATTTATTCTTGGATCCTCTGGTCGTTGGATTTTTTTTGACACATTTTTTTCTAGTGGTGAGACAAATATTTTTCGTTTGTTTGTAATTTGTGGTTTTGGTGTATGTAATCCCAAAGTAGGAGATATTTGTTCGTTATTGCTATTACTACTTTCTTCTGCAATATTCTCATCCGTACTTAAAAACTCTGATACACCATCATCGTCGATCAAATCACATTCAATCTGCATTAAATTATTAAAATTACTAAATATTATTTTCAGAGGGTTGGGGGGGGGGGGGTTGTAAAAAGTAAAATTTCCCAGTAGTTTAAAAAAGCGTCAGGAAAAAGTATAAACCCTAAATTACGTATCGGAAAAACGGGAATGTTTACGAAAAATCAGTTTTCGACAAAATACACGGAAACATTTTCAAAATATTTTGAATTTTTTTTTGTTAATTTAAGACAATTTACAATACAAAGTTTCTTATAAGTTAACTTATCGCAACTAAAAAAAAATCAAAAATCGTAAAACAAATTTTTTTTTTATTAGCGTTTAACGTTCAAATATTAATTTAGATTTTTATTACCAGGGCTGTGAATTTATAGGAAAGTGCATTTTTTTTGGTGATTGAAAAACATAGCTTTGTTAGTACATAATTTGAATTATGTTACTACGAATCTATCTATAAAACATTTATTTTGCATATTTTTGCATTTTTGACGTTTTTAATTTTTTAGGTCATTTTTTTGCATTTTAAGTCTATATTTTATTGCATTTTTTTGACATTTTAAATGCATTTTTTAAGGTTTTATAGTGCATTAAATTCACAGCTCTATTTATTACTAAGAAAGTACTAGTCGTAAAAACTTGAAATATTTAAAAATTCATAAATTAGTATTTTCTTTAAATATTTTAATTTTCAAAATATTTTGCTTATAGGTATTTGTAATATTTGATTATTATTAGGTATTTTTTATAACTGTTGATAAAACATTTTTGCTGAGTCGAAATACTTGAAAATTGTATGAAAGGGTTCCAAAAAAATTTTAAAAATATATAACCACAATTTTTTCAATTATTTAATTTAATTTTAGATGCCTGATACAGAAGAAAATTGGTTAAAAATTGCTGACGAATATGAAAAGCAATGGAACTTTCCACATTGCGTGGGTTCAATCGACGGAAAACACGTACAAATACAAGCACCGGCTACAAGTGGTAGTAACTTTTTTAACTACAAATCAACCTTTAGTATTGTTCTGATGGCACTTGTAGACGCTGATTACAATTTTTTGTACGCCGATGTTGAATTTCTGATGGAGGCGTATTTAGAAATACGTCTCTGTTTCAAAAACTTGACAAAAATGAACTAAATTTACCTACAGAAAGCTTATTAGAGGGAAGACAAAAATTAGTGCCATACGTTTTTGTCGCAGATGATGCTTTCCCTTTAAAATATAATATTATGAAGCCATATTCAGGTCTTCAACAAAAAGGATCGAGGGAACGATCATATAATTATAGATTATCACGGGCAAGACGAGTCGTAGAAAACGTATTTGGAATTTTGTCAGCTATTTTTAGAGTTTTAAGAAGGCCACTATTATTAGAGCCCGATAAAGCAGAGCGTGTAGTAATGACATGCGTTTACTTGCATAATTTTTTGAGAAAAAATAAAATATCAAAAAATATATATACACCAAATGGAACTTTTGATTCGGAAATAAATGGCGAAATCAGAGAGGGTACTTGGAGAAACACGTGTCAAGGTGAAACTAGTAGTTTTGTCTCATTTCAAAGAGTTGGGAGGAGATCGGCTAAAAGCGTGGAAGAAATAAGAACGGAATTTGCGGAGTATTTCGTAACAAATGGAAAACTCCAGTGGCAAGATGAATATGAATAATTAATGTTAATCATTAATTTAATAAGTTATTTATAACTATACACAATATTATCTTATTTTTTAATAGGTTATTTATAACTATACACAATATTATCTTATTTTACTTGTACCTATTATTAACAAATAAATGATAAATGATAACTTATGATTAATATTTAAAAATGTGAAGTTATGGTTAAAAATTAAAATATATGAACAATAATAAATTAAACTATTGTAATACTTACATCTTTAGTTGAAGTAGTTTCTGTATTTTTTGTTTTTCTAGGCTTGAACTTATCGTTCAAAAATTGCATGGACTGAAACCCAAACCATTGTGAGTGATACACCTCGTCTTTGCCCATTCCAGATGTAGTTCCTTCTCTCTGCCGTTCTCGCCTGAATGAAGTTAATAAACTTTCCATTTTTTTGCGGATATTAACAACTTCGGCATTCATGTCTTTTGCAATGGCACACCATACATCAAATTTTTTTTTTGTTTAATTTATACTCAAAATTTGTTGGATCCCATAGTATTGGGTGTTCTTGATATAAATGTATTAGTTGAATGCATCGTTTATCACTCCAATCCATTTTAAAATTTTAAATGAATAAGTACAATTATTTAAATATTTAATTCAAAAAGACACCAGTTCGGACCAAATGTCAACGAATACTAAAATATCGACAAATCGTGTCCGAACCGATAACGAATTCCTTTTGATGTACCGCTTGCCGAGCGAAGGCAACCGAAGGCAAATTCACCGTTGGCGTTCGTTCGGTAGCGCTGTCCACACCAATACCAATATCTCCGAATAAGGTCGTCACATGTGCCTTCGATACCCTTGGTCGTCTAGTCTGGACGCGGCTTAACGCACATCAACTCTCTCAGAAAAGCCTGATACGTTGTATTATTATTAAAGTGCATTACACACTAGGCGATTCGAACGCGCGCGTCCGCGCGTTTCGAACGACGCGATTTGATCGCTTAAAATAAAACAGCCGTTATGGTATGGTTATATTCACACTGATAAAATACGCGCGCGTTCTGCCGCGTTCGATCGCGTTGAAACGCGCCGGTTTAATTTTGGGCGTCTGATCGCACGAACGCTCTAAAATTAAACCTTGTATTTCCAATGTTATTATTCACATTGGGCGTTTTACCCGCCGAAACGTCGCGTTTATTTTATATTCTACGATTTCATTCATCATTTGTGTTTTACATTTCATTGATGATTCACGTATTCATAATTCATATACAATGTTCGATAACGAAGCTTTCATTATTGAAGTTTCTAACGAGGAAAGCATATGGAATATAGGTAAGTTTCGAGTTATTTATCATGTGTAAATTCATAGTACAAGGTTCCTCATAAGTTAATATAATAGCAGTTTGAAAATAATAAAAATTCATATGCACAAATTGTTTTTTATAACCATTTAAAGTTCAAATTTTGACAAAATTTGTTTAACTGAAAATTTACAAATTCTTTAGTTGTTAAAAATGTATAAAATTTTTAGCTAAGGATTGAAAATTTGATACAAGGTTCCACGTAACATAATAAATCTAATTTGATTAATTTGGAATTTGTTTTACCTACATTTTTTTTTAAAATAATATAATTAATATATCATAAAATATCCTAGACTGAAAACTCGTCTCCGATCAGAATCATTTTTTGTATACAATGATATTATATCATTGTATACAAATTTAATACCATCCATTACAGTAACCCACTTCTAACGTACTGTACAGCAGAGCGATATCCACTTTTCCTCTTTTCTCCAATGAAGATAATGTTATAATTTTAATTAACTAAGTTACGTTCATTATTTTCGTTATTTGCTTAAAACTGGTTAATAGATACTTATATGTGTACATGATACGTACCTCCACCTATTTCAATTGTATTTGGAATGATTACCCAATATATATTATATTAATATATACCGATTTATTTAGAATCAAAATTATACCACGACAAAGTCGCTAAACATGTCAGCTGGACTAAAATAGCCAAAAAGTTTTTTGAAAATTTCGAAACAATTGATGAAAATGAAAAAAAGAAAAAAAGTAAGCAATTAATATAACTTTATTTATTCATTAGACTTTGTTTAATATTAATAAAATGTATTTGTAAACACTTATAACTCATAAGTCATAATTAATATTACAAATTAAAATATGCGGATATTTAATATAATATTATAATATGTATAAGTAGGTACCACGCACTTTCACAATATATTAATTTCATATCACCCTTTTTTGCCAACTTAGTTCATAAGCCGGGTTGTTGAAATAATTAACAAAATATTCTCTCACGTCTTTTGCATTCGATGTGGAATTGCCTACTCCATTTCTTCGTGTTATATTTTCCATGTTACAAATCTGAGCATCCTCAGAGTTGTACCCATCTCTTCGTCTGACAAAATTGTGCAAAACACAAGCCGCTTTTGTGATTGCAACCGCGAAATTCGGTTCAACTAATAAAGTGGTATGAAATACTCTCCATTTATTAGAAAGTATACCGAATGAACATTCGATATTTTGTCTTGCTCTCGATAGGCGGTAATTGAATATACGCCTTTTATCGTTCAGACTTTTTCCGGGGAAAGGCCGTAAAAGATTAGTATGTAAAGCGAATGCTTCATCTCCAACCACAATAAACGGTTGAGGTATGCCTTGTTCATCTCCTGGCAAACAACGAGGTTGTGGAAAGTTAACTTTATTATTATATAATTTTTTACCGAATATGGATTTTTTGAAAATGTTGCAATCGCTTTCTTTTCCATATGACCCAACATCTATAACTGTGAAGCAGTAATTCGCATCACAAATAGCCATGAGTATTAAAGAAAAAAAATGTTTGTAATTATGATATAAAGTACCGCTATTCGGGGGACATTGTAATCTAATATGTTTCCCGTCTACGGCACCAACACAGTTCGGGAATTGAG